TAATTAAATTTAAAAATTTATATTTTTGCCTCCCAGTCTCACTATTACATATGAAAAAAGATTATTCATCAATACAATCAACTCCCATAACATTCATAAATACTTCAGTCAGATCCCTTCTAAATTCATTTTTTCTAAAGAAAATTTCAGAAATCTTAACCTATCCTCATATGAAAACCTTTCTATTCCAGGTATCCTAGTAGCCCACCTATCCAACAAAATACTAAATTTTGTTAAATGACCTTGTAAAGCATCTTTTATGAGACATTCAAATCTGTTCCCACCACTGATGTAAGGCAAATAGGCTTATAATTACTGGAACAGTCACATCCCATAAAAAGAGGAGTAACACTAGCCAACTTCCAATCTTGTGTCACCTCCCCACCATTCAAGGACAGTGACTCACATATCCAGTCTTTTACATCCTTCAAAACCCATGGATAAATATTATTTGGCCCAGAAATATATCATTCTTTAAACTTCCCAGTTTGTTCTTAACAAGATCAAAATTAGTGTGATCATCTTGTTCAGTCGTGTTTCCATCTAGCAACTCTTAAGGATGAGGAATATTGCTTAATTTTCATTAATAACAATTGAAGAAAAAAGGTAGAATATAATAACCCAACCACCCCATAATCACCAGATATTAGCCTTTCTTTATCATACTTCAAAGGCCCTATTCCCATCCTAACATTTTGTATTTAAAGAACTCCTTACTATTAATTTTACCATTTTCAGACAACCTTTTTATCATATAATTTTATTTCCCATTTCACCAACTCTCTTGGTTTTCTATAATCCATGAAATCTCATATTATTACAAGCAGTAAATTTTGTACTTTTAAATTTATAATGCTTTTCTTTAATTCTATTCATCCTTTATACCTTTTGTGAACCAACCTGGTTTTTTTACTTGCAGTTACCCTTTTTTTTTTTCTACAAGGAACATACTTGTCATGAATATTTACAAATTTATTAAAAAAAACTTCCATATTTGATCAGTATCTCCATTTAATTCATTTGCCTTATTCACAGCAGGTAATTCCTGTCTCATCACTTCAAATTTTGCTTTTTTTAAATTTGGAACCAAATCTTATTTCTTTTTCTTTATCTGCTGCTAAACATCAAACTTAATTGAGCAATGATCAATTACACCTAGATATTACCCAGTATCCACCCTGTCAACTGTTTCTGTATCAAAAGTTAACAATAAATCTAAAATAGCATTGTTCCTAGTAGATTCCTTAATCCTTTGGTAAAGAAAACCACCCTGAACAGTTCTAAAAACCTGTCTCCCTTTGACATTAAAATTTCCCATTTTTTTGCCTGAAATTAAAGTATCCCATAATTATAACCACATTAACAGCTGAATTTTTTATCTTACTATAGAAATTCTCAACAATTTAAATTGTTTCATCGGGTAGTCTGTAACAAATTCCATGAAAAAGCCTTCTCATGTTATAACCATTAACAGAAACCCAAATAATTTCAAAATCATTGTTAATAGCTTTAATATCCTCACTTTGAACATGATGAAACTCATATTTTATTTATTTAATATTCTATCCCTATTAAATAACCTATAACAATATTTCAAAATGTACAAGACATAACAAACATTTTACATGTAAAGCCACTTCTTTTTCAATAACCTCCCTATGTTTTTCATTCCCATCCCTATCTGTCCCTTTTGTTAACCTTCCCTTCCCTAGTTCCTCACCTGCACAAGCTAAAAGATGAAATCTCATACTTAATAGAACCTGCTCCTTTTAATCAAATACACTACTATTTGCTCCATTAGAACTTATTAGTCAGTATTAGCCACTGTAACCTTCACATACAAAAACTTAAGTTCCTCTTTAAATCCTGTTACCCTTGTCCTCAGTTTACCCTTCTCTTTATCCATTTGCCTGTACTCTATTTAAAATGGTCTCCAATTTCTTCTCCAACCTAAAAATTCTAAATACAAATTTTACATCTTTACAACTAACTATGTTGAATGTGCATGCCAGGTCTGAGTTCCCAAATAAAACCCATTTTGTGCAACTGTCACGCTTTACAAACTATGAGAGCTTAACACCTACACTACTGTTAACCATTGTAGACTTGGGATAAACAATCAGTGCTAAATACAAGTAGTCTATTGACAATACTGTTTAGCTTAACATTAAATTTAAATATGTTAATTGTTGTATCACTACTTTGTTTTCCCACAAAAGTAATTAAGTTTAGCTTTGAAATAAGTAGAGACAAGTAACTTGTCTCTAGATTATAATTATGTAATAATACAATATATTTAGTGTTTTATAACTTACCAATAAGCTTGAATTTTAGCTTGAGTTGAATAACACTCTCTAAACCAAACTGTATATTAAACAGTAGATAAATTAACACCAAAAACCCCTTTTAACCAATACTTGTTAATTAATAATGTCAGTACCACAGCTATGATGCTGCACTATAGAATTGTTATCTAACATCTTTTAAGATGTGTAAACTTTATAAAGTAACTAGCAAACCTGTGAGCCTATGGCCCAGATTTATAAAGTCGCTATAATGCAAATTTAATGCTTGAACAACTATTTTGCAATTTATCAATTTAATTATCATCTCTGCAGTAATGCAAATTTAATTTCTTTCACCAAGTTATGAATGGTAATTAGTAGGCCTACTTATTTATATGCTTTAATATTAATCAATGCCAAATTTGGGGTCTGGTTTCAGGGAATTTGCATAAAAGTGTTTTTGTGAAATACCCAGGTTCCCTAAGGGGTTGGGTGAAAAGGTTAACCTTTGTGCAAACCTCGGGACAGAGATGATTCGTTTGGCATCATTTAGTGAACCAGTTGGCCTATAGTCCACATTTACAGGGCCACTATAATGCATATTTAATGCTTGAATTACTAAGGGGTTAGGTGAAAAGTTTTACCTTTGAATAAACCTCAGGAATGAGACGATTCATTTGGCACCATTTATCAAACCTGTGGGCCTATGACCCACATTTACAAGGCTACTATAATGCAAGTTTAATACTTGAACTACTATATTTATATGCTCTAATGTAAATCAATCTCATATTTGGGGTCTTCTTTCTGGGAATCCTTGTAAAAGTGTTTTCACAAAATATCTGGGTTCCCTAAGGAGTTGGGTGAAAATTTTTACCTTTGTACAAACCTCTTGACTGAGACAATTTGTTTGGTGCCATTTAGAAGTTAGTTTGAGGAGGAGTAACATGACAAACACACACACACACAGACACTGGATATTATTCTATGTGATGTATTTTTCCCTTGTACATTGAGTTTGATTTCTACATTACAAACCAGTATAATTACAGCTAATAATTCTGTTTGAAAATATAACTTGTGTACTCTTGAACAATTTTTTATGCTAATTATCTCCCTAACAAGGTCATCAAGCAAAATATTGAGTAATAATAAGATAAAAAAATATCCTCTATATAATAAAGTAACCCAAGATTGGTTATTTTGAATAATAAGCCATAGTTTTCTGCAGTCTATATCTTTAAACAAATAAAATTAATCACATTTGTGCTGTTTTCTTTTATAAATCAATATTATTGAAAGTAGCTGTGATTAACTAGGAATTTGAGATATGTATTTAATGTGAAATATAGTTGAGAGGTTTGAAAATAATTTTTAGGATTAACACATAATTCAAGTTTTTCTAAGGATTTACTAAGAATTTAAAAACTTGGTTTATAATAGGTACAACAGAAATTAAAAAATAATATGTACCCACACATTATACAACAGCTTTGAGATACATATTTTTTCTTCTTCTTATGTGAATATGTAGTTTCTGAGGAAGAAAATGGTCAGTTTAAGTGGCTGGCCTGCACATTCAACTGAAGCTTTCTGACACACCAGAAAACTACTTTTACTAACACATGTGAAGTTACTGTTTAATCTCCACAGTCTTTCTTTTGTAAACACTATTTTAATTTTGAGAACCTGTGAGCATTTTGGCTATTAATATAAGCATACACACACACACACACACACACACACATATATATATATATATTGAACACTGTCCACTCCCAATATTGTGTGCTTACACAAACAAATGAATAATTACTTCAACTTACCAAGTCTCTGTGGAAGAAAGGAGGAGTCTTCTCCATTATACATGCTGATGAAAGCCAATAGTTTTTGTGGTTTGTTTTATCTATCAGTAGAACTATTTCCAGCTCTAAATGATTTGTCCTGAAGGTCTTAGTTTAATTATGGTTTGGTGTGAGGAGTCATCTAGTTTTATTTATAGATGGTTTGAAAGGATCATTGTATAACCAGTAAGCTGTTTTCTCATTATATACCATGGTTTATCTATGGCCAGATACGTTAAGAAGCTTGGGACATTGCACTGGTTCCCTTTTTTTTTGTTTAGTAAAAAATGGTGTGGTCAAACCTTTGACATAAAGAGCTAGACAACAGATAATGAAAACACCCATGGGCCAGTGTATTTTCTTCAGTTCAAATACAGATTTTATCATAAGTGTTGGATTTAATAACTAGATTAATGTGGAGGGTGGATGATATTACTCTTGGGCACCCATTTGGACAACATGGGCAACATCTTCATTTAGTCTATCACTACCAGTAAATATATACATTATTTCAGGGCTGTACATTGAGTCCATAATTTTATTTATGTTTTGGTTGTGTAACTACACTGGCTTCCCACTATAACGAGGCCCACAAGGTCCATATTGTGAGACCACATTTTAATGAGGACCATTCAAAAGTGTCAAGCCAGAATATTGCACAGCTACTTAATCATTTTAGAATGTTTCTGTAGTCCAACTGTGATTTGATTTTCCATGCCATGATGGTTTTGTTTTCTGCATGTTTCAAAATATCGGTAGTCATATAAGTTACCTGAAGTCTCATTTAAATAATAATGAAGCACATTTTTTTATGTTTATTGTATTGTAACATTTAGAAGAGCTATGACGTATTAAATTTTTATGAAAACAGGATATTCCATTCTGAAAGTGGACGATCAATGGAGGTTTGGACAACTCAACCAGGTGTCCAGTTATACACTGGTAACAGCCTTCCAACAGATGACAGCTTAAAAGGGAAAGGTGGTGCTGTTTACAAGAAACATGGAAGTTTTTGTTTGGAGACACAGCATTATCCAGACTCTGTTAATAAGGTTACTGTTTACCTTTTATATAACTACTTCATTTCAATGCATGTTTTCCCCTCATACTAATAACTTTCAATTTCTTAGAGTAAGTTATAAGAAAAATTCCCAATATTATCATTATTAACTACATTTTTGTTTTCTTTTTTCATTTCAAGAAAACAAAGTTTTCAGTATGAAATACAAATCTGCACCTGACAACAAAAATTGTCTTGATATGTTTTATGTTTTTACATCATGTTTTCCTCCTTTTCATGGTTAAAGGTGACAGTGTTTACTAATGTACATACATTTACATTTGTCTATATTGAATGATTCATGTGGAGTAACAAAAGCCAGAGCTATAACAAAACACCAATCACTCACCACCAAGTGTCATGCAACATACATACTTTTGATTTTTGTTATACAACATGGCAACCTGTCATTAGCTTCTGTAACTTGTTACTAACAAGACTTGATAGAAAAATATATAAAAAAAAATTATGTTGATAAAGTTACAAATCTCACTGAATTGCCAACTTCAACTAGTGTTATTGATAATTCATATTCTGTGTCAGTATAATATACTAGTGTAACTGTATGTTATTAACATTTTAGAGAACATTTACATTCATCTCGATTCTGGTGATAATTAAACAAGATTGAATTGTTTTTAATGTAGCCACATTCATTTTGATATTTGGAATAAAGCTGTTTATATTTTTTAAATGTACTTGATGTTTTAAAACTCAAAGTTTCTGTGAAGCATAATTCCTCTGATGTAAACTGAAAAATGCTACCCTCAATATTACCTTTTTATGCAAAATATCTACATTCAGTGTCACAAAATATTGCATGTCAACTTTTTTAGAGGATGATAACACTACCTACAAGCTCCCCAGTCACACAGTCTTCGGACTTAAAACGCTAAAAACTGGGTTTCAATACCTATGGTGGTTAGAGCACTGATAATGTAGCTTTGTGCTTAATTACACACACTCACTCACACTACCTACAAAATACCAAACAATGTCAAAATGTAATTCTGATACATGCCATTCCACCATAACTTTATTTGATCTGTGGTTGTCACTTGACGTGCTAACTTGCTCTTGGTGATAACATACTTGTTAGCCTGAAAACTAAGTCTTCATATGTATTGCTATAGATTTCTTTTTGTATGCTGTAATCTGACACAATCATATCTTTCCGTAGATTGTAATCTGGGCTAGATTCATAAGCTTGTCTCAATTGTATACTTCAATATCATGTAACATGTACCACTATGATGCGCTTTGGCTAATTTCATCCTTCTATATATAGTAACCTGAATGTTATCAACTTTTGTCAAGTTTCATTTTGCTACCTCACCCTGATCAAAGGAGAAATAATGTTAAATTACATAACGTAGAATGTGTCTTTTCAAATTAAGGGTCTGTTAAGAAAAATTGTTTGTATGTTTTACCAAAATACTTTATAATGGAGTTTTAGTTGCTGTTTAAACTCAGCTTCTACACTATGTTGCTTGAGATGCAATTACATAAAAAATCAAGTTAATGTTATAAAATCTTAAATTTGGGTGTTATTCTTGAGATATTATTAGGGATTTACAATAATTTTAAAAATATCCAAATAATACAATTGTTAATTAATTGATTTCAAATCACAAAATAAGATTAAAAGCTCAACAATAGGAGACATTTTCAGTTAAACTCTAATATGCACTTTTTAAAGTTGTATTAATTAGAAATGATACTGAGGAAGCATTGACAAGAGTTTGTTTTATTCTAGTTAAGCACAAAGCTATACAATAGGCTATCTGTGCTCTTTCCACCACAGGTGATGAAACCCAGTTTCTAGCATTGTAATTCCTCAGACATACCACTGTGCCTCTGGGGAGCTTGACAATTGTCATTTCTTTTACCACATCCATATTCCACACCCAAACATTTCTTCCCTAACTGCCTTCAGGGGTAAAATAATATAAAATATTTACAATATAGTAACTTATTTTTTATTGAAATTTTGATTTTATGAAAACTGAAATTATAGAACTTTTAAGTGAAAGTAAAGAGTAATGTATAATAATATGTCAGTCACGCTATATCTGCTATATCTAGTGCTGATGAGGTCTTTCGCTTAATACCATAAGGCTGGCTTGTATATGATAAATACACTATCAGAATTTTTCATAACAAATTGATTTGATATATTTCTACAGTTAAATATTTTTCATGTTAACAAAAGAGGAAGTGTGTTGCAGAAATGTAAAATTTTATCGCATTAAATTGCTTTTAAATCTCCTCATTTTGAGGTTAATGTGCACACTTTTCCAGAAACACAAGGGAATATGTATTTTTTTTTCATTCTTATGGGTTTTTTTTTCATCCTTGTGTGTGTGTGGTGTGTATGTATATACACTGAGTGGTCA